CCAACTCTCTTGCTATCTCTCTCAGAATGACCTTCTTGATCCAAACCAGTCAGGTTTCAAGACTGGTCATTCAACTTAGACTGTTCTTCTCTGTGTCACGGAGGCTCTCCGCACTGCTAAAGCTAACTCTCTCTCCTCTGCTCTTGTCCTTCTAGACCTGTCTGCTGCCTTTGATACTGTGAACCATCAGATCCTCCTCTCCACCCTCTCAGAGTTGGGCATCTCCGGCGCGGCTCACTCTTGGATTGTGTCCTACCTGACAGGTCGCTCCTACCAAGTGGCGTGGCGAGAATCTGTCTCCGCACCACGTGCTCTCACCACTGGTGTCCCCCAGGGCTCAGTTCTAGGCCCTCTCCTATTCTCGCTATACACCAAGTCACTTGGCTCTGTCATATCCTCACATGGCCTCTCCTATCATTGCTACACAGACGACACACAACTAATCTTCTCCTTTCCCCCTTCTGATAACCAGGTGGCGAATCGCAAGACGGAGCTGCTCTTCCTCCCGGGGAAGGACTGCCCATTCCATGATCTCGCCATCACGGTTGACAACTCCGTTGTGTCCTCCTCCCAGAGTGCAAAGAGCCTTGGCGTGACCCTGGATAACACCCTGTCGTTCTCTGCTAACATCAAGGCGGTGACCCGATCCTGTAGGTTCATGCTCTACAACATTCGGAGAGTACGACCCTGCCTTACACAGGAAGCGGCACAGGTCCTAATCCAGGCACTTGTCATCTCCCGTCTGGATTACTGCAACTCGCTGTTGGCTGGGCTCCCTGCCTGTGCCATTAAACCCCTACAACTCATCCAGAATGCTGCAGCCCATCTGGTGTTCAATCTTCCCAAGTTCTCTCAAGTCACCCCGCTCCTCCGCACACTCCACTGGCTTCCAGTTGAAGCTCGCATCTGCTACAAGACCATGGTGCTTGCCTACAGAGCTGTGAGGGGAACGGCACCTCCGTACCTTCAGGCTCTGATCAGTCCCTACACCCAAACGAGGGCATTGCGTTCATCCACCTCTGGCCTGCTGACCCTACCTCTGCGGAAGCACAGTTCCCGCTCAGCCCAGTCAAAACTGTTCGCTGCTCTGGCACCCCAATGGTGGAACAAGCTCCCTCACGACGCCAGGACAGCGGAGTCACACACCACCTTCCGGAGACACTTGAAACCCCACCTCTTTAAGGAATACCTGGGATAGGATAAAGTAATCCTTCTACCCCCCAATACCCCACCCAAAAAAAACAACATATTTTATAGTGGTTATACCACTGGCTATAAGGTGAATGCACCAATTTGTAAGACGCTCTGGATAAGAGCGTCTGCTAAATGACGTAAATGTAAATGTACATTTTGAGGAAACCCGAATTTTGCTTCTAATGTCGTTACTATGATATTCCTTAATTGGCTCGATAATGTTATGGAAAAAGGGTTTATTGTGTAAATATAGCAACTCCTCTCTTGCTGTGCAAACACAAATTGGCTTAGTTTTCAGGACTTTTGGGCGGATTTTGAGTGGTCATTGTCAGGAAATGTTATCTTGACCTGGCAACCCTGGATAGGTGTGTCTGAATGGGCTTCTTTAAGTGGTAAGGCTGAAGCAACCAATTGCAGACGAAAGTCGAGGAGTGAAGTCGGGGGAGGTGCATCTGCGACAGCCGAAAGTCGGACACTAATGTGGTCGTCCAACAGCAAAGCTCAGATGGCAGTGTTGCCATTGTTTATAATATATATATATATATATATATATATATATATATATATATATATATATATATATAATGTAGAAAGAAACATGTCTCCAACCCCATATCATAGACTCACAAACAAAAATAATATGTGTACATGTAATTTATAACCAGAGTGAGAGAGAGCCTCATATCACATTGATTTGTATCCAGTGTATGAATGACAGCAAAGTTGGTTCCCGTTTCAGTCATGTCTTTGTGTCATGTCATGTCATGTGGTCCTCTGTAGCTCAATTGGTAGAGCATGGCGCTTGTAACGCGCCGCCAGGGTAGTGGGTTTGATCCCCGGGACCACCCATAAGTAAAAATGTATGCACACATGACTGTAAGTCGCTTTGGATAAAAGCGTCTGCTAAATGGCATATTATATTATTATGTCTTTGGCAGGGGCGGTGTGTTCATTAGGGCGATATGGGCGACGCACTGCCAAACGGGAAAAGGAAGGGATTTTTTTTCTAATCAATTATATCACGGCAACAGTAGTTATCAGTGTTCTAATCTAGACGTCTGATCTGCCACTAAATGTCCAATCAGGCTAAAGTCGTGCTTCAAATGGCCCCGCCCCTTTTGGGGCGATTTCAGTCAGGTTGAAAATCGCCCCAGAAGTCTCTCATAGACTCTCATGTAAAATCTTTTTTTTTCAAATATCAGAGCTTTCAATACAATCTCTATGGGTTCCGGGAGGGCTTGCACTTACGCGCTTTCGTCATACGTAACATAACCATGAACGTAACTAAGAAAAGAGCGGGTAGCAGCGTCAATCAATTCACATACTACTGTCAAGATGGCTAGCGTTCAGTGCAACTCGATTGTCTCTTTGAAAGAAGTTCCTTTTTGTCGGCGAACAAATCAAGATAAATTGGCAACGAAACAATTAGGACCTCCCAGACCAAATTTAATAATTCAACAGGTTTCTACTAAAGGGGGAAAGTCCTACACCCGAGGATTTTCCTAAAATTGGTACGAACGAAAAACCTGGCTAGCAGGCTGCGATGTAGCTAATGCAGTCTTCTGCTACCCCTGCTTACTCTTTCACCCTGAAGGCGGCACGGCAGACAGCACCGCTTGGACAGCGACTGGTGTAACGGACATGCACCATCTTTCAGAAAAGATTAAGAAACATGAGCTGTCAAAGACCCACATGGATAGCTGTTTGAGATTGTCTGCTTTGGGGAGAGTGAACATTGCCACTCAACTGGATGAGGGATACAGGCTAGCTGTCCGCCGCCACAACGATGAGGTTAGCAAGAACCGCCACATCCTCAGCCGGCTAATCCAGTGTGTGAAGTTTTGCGGAGTGTTTGAGTTAGCTTTGTGAGGCAAAGATGAAACTGAGGGCTCCACCAACCCTGGTATTTTTCTTGGACTTGTCAACTTTGTGGCACAATTAGATGAGGTGTTTTATGGAAATGCATATTGTTTATGCAGTGTTGAGGAATGTGAAAGAACACCCTTGATTATCTTTACTGTGATAACTCATTTTGCTTTTGTAAGCCAACACTTTTGAGATCAGTCAATAAATGCTTCTGGTATTGACTTATATGCTGCCCCTGTCTTCATGTTGTTGCTGGACATATCTTTTTTTAAATGTGTGTAGGTCACCTAAATCATCAGAAAAATTGCCCCCCCTGAGAATTTTTTCAGGAGCCGCCACTGGTCTTTGGTCACGTTCGTGTGGGTCAAACAAAAACACCCTAAAGATTGGTTGACAATAGAGCCTCCCACATAACACGCGGGATAGACCAAGAGGAAATGCTCTCTTAGGCTGTTTTTTAAGTTCCGTGGCGGGCTACCTTATCACGGGGCCATGACCGACTCATGTCTGCTATAGCTGCAGGATGAAGTTGATGAAGAGCAACTACAGAAACTTGTAGTCGACTGCAGTCAAAACTTCATGACCTTTGATCTCATGATTTTTGTAAAGTACATGCAGTTTACATGTAGGCGGAAGTCGGACAATTTGTATCCCCAAAATGCAACACACTTTGAAAGGGCTTGACAAAAGTGATCCGCGACATCGTTTTCAAATTAGCCCAATTTTCAGGAAAACCACTGACATGGCAACCCTGGTGTACCCTACCAAACAACACAGAAAAAACGACGCTACAATGAGGGTGCGTTCGTAAATTCATTCTGGCTATCTACTCGGATTTCAGAGCACTCTCGTCTGTTGCCAGCAGCAGTTACAGTCACCAACGCTCTGGATAACATAACAACAGCCTAGTCAGAGTGAGGTGTTCTCTTATATGTGTCTGGAAGTAGCTAGAAAATTAGCTTGGGTGCCGTTGTGAGGCCAGAACGTTCGGATCAACCCTACTCCTCGGCCAGAGCGTCCAGTGTGCGCTCTGAACGCTCCGAGAGCGAAACGCTCTGAATTTACGAACATCCAGAGGTCACTCCAGATAGAATTTACGAACGCACCCAGAGCTGTTGATCAGTCAGAGCGGTAATGGAGTCACAGGTACGTTTTATTAGATAGATAGCTAGCTATCAGTGTGTTAAATTCCAGTTTATTTAAATTTATGGTGAGCTTTTACACAAAGCAAACTAGCTAGCTACTTGCTTGTCCAACTTCCCATTATGTACTACCTAGCTAGCTACTTGCTTGTCCAACTTCCCATTATGTACTAGCTATCTAGCTAATTTAACTAGCCAAGTAGCTACCGTATGTTCGCTATCTTTATTTTCCAGATAGTGTAGTGAACTTGAAATGCTAACTATTTATTTTCCAGCTAGTGTAGGCAGAGATAGTGGATATAATGACTTCGTCTCTTCCTCTGGTGTAGTTTTAGGCAGTCATTGGTCTGGCTAGCTAGCTTTCTTATGGTCACGCGCAGAAAGGCACTTCCTGGTCAGTCACGTAAGCCACTCTAGCTATGTTGGATATAGCGTTCTCAATTAAACACAATAATTTATAGCTAGAATAATATTTTTCTTCACTAGGGAGGGATAGGAGGCTGATCTTTCTAAATAACTAGCTAGCTAGCCAACTACTGAACGTACTAGCCAGTAACCTACAAGAGTCACATTCCTTGTAGAACAAGGCGTTGTAAATTGTTACGTTAGTTAACTAATTTAGCTAGATAACCTTGTAGCATGGTTTGTCACAAAGCCTGTCAGTGTTAACAATGATTCCATTGTTACTTATGTAGTGAGACATATAAATTGCATGCTGCACTGACTATTGCAATTAGTAAACAAGCCAGTCTACCACTATTGTCTCAGTCTAGGGTCAAGAGAGACAACCAGTAAAATATGAACTCATCAATGCGTGTTGTGAGACATTGTTTATCCCTGACGCGATGTGCAAGTTCCTCATCTGTTGTGTGTGGAAAGGTAATGACTAATCCGGAAGACATCTCCAAACTCTACCTGGAGTTGAGCCGATTTCCCTCCCTGACCCGAGCTGACATAGGGCCAGTCATAACATCCCAGTATGGAGGAAAATACAGCAACATCTACACAGGTGTGTGTGTGTGTGTCTGTCCGTCGGTCTGTGTGTGTCTCTCTGTTCGTCGGTCTGTGTTTGGGTTTCCATGCCTTTTATTTTGTGTCCCCTAGAATGGAGTCAGCGGGATCTGGAGAGGAACGAGAATGTCAAGTTCTGTCGGCAGTACATTGTGTTTCACGACGACAAGTCAGTGGTCTACTCTGGACCCTCAGGAAACTGCACAGAGATCAAGGGAGAGTATGTGGACATTTGACAGTTTGACACATGAGTGTGATCTGTGTTCAGTGTGTGTGTGGTTGATTTAGTGTGTTTGCTCTGTGTCAGGTTGCTGAGTAAAGACTCTCCATCAGGAGACATGAAGGCGGTGGTGAGAGAGAGCAACATCAAAGGAGAGGACAAACAGTTTCTGGAGGTGAGGGGCCCTCTGTCGCTCTCTCTATCTGTCGCTCTCTCTATCTGTCGCTCTCTCTATCGGTCTCTCTTTTCCCCCTGGGATGCACAACTGACCTTAGATAAGTGCCTAGCATGGGGCAACCCCCCCTTCGCCCATATATCCTCAACCTCTTTCACTCATTTTGATTGACAGCTGACCCTCTTTTCCCTTTGACCCCTCCTCCATTCGGTGACCCCTCAGATCTGGAGTAAGAACATCAAAGTGAAGAGCATCAACCTGACAGCTCTGAAGAAACATGGCAAGGTCTATGAAGACGGTGAGACATCAATGCCATGTGTCTGTATGTGAGAGACTTCCTGAAGTTTCTGATTCTTCTGTTACTGGCACACAATAAACTGGTGTTTTCCCTAAAGACCCGCACAGACTGCACGATTTTTGCAGTCTTATGCCACGATTTGGCCGTCCCAGACAAAATGTACACGCCTTGGGAAAAATAAACTTTCTACCACAGCGACTGTTATTCTTAGGAAGCCTATTTGATTCGGAGTTCGGACATATAAAGTTTGTATGTGAAATCTATTTCTAAGACTTTGTTTTTTCCGAACTCTCTTCACTCGCCCATAAGCATAGAGGGCATGCGCTACTGGAGCTGACACATGCTCAGATCAAATACACTGCTGCAGTTGACATAGCCGACATTGGCTGACGTAGCTCGCAAGCCAATCGCAGAATGTGATGAGGGAACTGAAGCAAATCGTACAATCTGGCCAGGTTGATAGCAAGATTTTAATTTGGTAACATCGCACAGTGTGACATGTAATAATCGTAAAATACTGAATCCGACATACAGTATGGGAAGGCCTTAACACCAAAGTATATCAGGCACATTCTGTAGTTGACCCACCTGTTCGTTTATATCTGTTTCCAGACCAGTTTGGCTGCCTGGTGTGGTCCCACTCTGAAACTCACCTGCTGTATGTGGCTGAGAGAAAGAGACCCAAGGCAGAGTCCTTCTTCCAGGTCTTCAAAACACACACCTACAGTTTAAACATGAGCACACTGCACTTTCACAATGCAGTGCTAATAAACTTAACTGCAAAATGTGTTAGGGATTCCCTCTATTTCCTAACCCCCTCCATCTCTACTATATAGTCAGTTTCTCTTGAGTCCTGTTCTCTTGCTGATGAAGAGGAGGGGGTGAAAATGGGCAAGGAGGAGGAGACCACAAAGGTAAGGAGGAGGATTGATCCAATGATAAACTGTTCCATTGATTGACACCCTGCTTTTAAACTAAAATGTATTGGTTAACCATACTGTGTGTTTGCTCCTCCCGTCCTGCAGGGGGAGCAGTTTGTGTTTTATGAGGACTGGGGGGAGACCTTGGTCAGTAAGAGTTCTCCTGTGCTGTGTGTGTTGGACATCGAGGGTAGCAACATCTCTGTGCTAGAGGGAGTCCCGGATAACATCTCGCCAGGCCAGGTCAGTACCCTGTGTGTGTGTGATGTTGGGTGCCATTTCTGTGTCCACAGGTGTGTGTGTGTGTGTTGCAATGTATACATGTGTTGTACCAGTGTTATAACTTGTGTCCCCAGGCGTTTTGGGCTCCGGGTGACACAGGCGTGGTGTTCGTGGGCTGGTGTCATGAGCCCTTCAGACTGGGCCTCAAATACTCGCCCAACCGCAGGTGAGCACTGTGATCGATCAGAGTGGAGGTTATGAGTGGCAGCTCTGTTATCCAGTAAAGGCCTCTAACTCTCTTCCCCCCCGGTGTTTCTTGTTGTATAATTCAGGTCCTCCTTGTTCTATGTTGACCTGACTGGGGGAAAGTGTGGTAAGTGTATTTCACTCTGACAATTATATTACACTCTGCGCTATACATGACCATAGTATTTGCTATAAGTGTGTTTGTGTTTCCCTCTCTCAGAGCAGCTTTCATCAGGCTCCAGTGCTGTGTGTTCCCCCAGGCTCAGCCCAGACCAGTGCAGGATCATCTACCTGGATAGTGCTGTCTACGGACCTCACCAGCAGTGTAGCAGGCTCTGTATGGTAAGAGAGAGGGAGAGAGAGGGATGGAGGGGAAAACATATCCAACTGCTCCCAATTAGAGAGATGATTTGAATACTATTGGAATATACCATATGTCATGTCTTGATGGCTGTGTGTTGTGTCGTAGTATGACTGGTACACCAAGAAGACCTCCATGGTGGTGGACGTGGTAAAGAGACCCAGAGATGGTAATGTTTCTTTTTTGAAAAGTAGAATTTGTTAATATAATTACAGCCACTTTTGAAGTTTGCGAGAGTATGCTGTTTATCCTAACTGTTTGTGTTCCAGATGGCTTTACCGGGATCTACAGCTCGTCTCTGTCTCCTCTGTGCTGGTCAGCTGACAGCCAGCGCATCCTGGTCTCCTGTCCACAGGGCAGCCGTAAGGTAACGACCCCTAGACACTGATCATGTAGAATTAATTATGCCATATGCATGGCCACAATCAAATCATCTTGACATCTTTTGCCTCCTATAGGATCTGCTGTTGGTGGAAACGACCACAGGGACCGTCACCTCTCTGACATCAAGTGAGTGGGTCACACCGTCCTCTGCCCCCTACTCAGATCACTGACAAACACTGGCTCTACATTCTAAAGCTCTAGTACTGTTGGGATGAAGTGTTGATGTTCTTACATTCTGACTGACATCCTAACGTTCTTGTGGTGTTCTGTGTTCCCCTGTAGAGGCTCCAGTGGGCAGCTGGTCATTGCTGACCATAGAGAGAGACTTGATGGTGGTCAGCTGGTCTTCCCCTAACTGCCCCCCCAGCCTGGTAATGTAGACCGCGCACACATATACATAGTCAATATACTTTATGTATTGCTTTGCAGTAAAATAGACACATTATTGAAATGTCTCGCTTTGGATGAGTCATTTATAGCAACGTCTGCTTAATGCCCATTGTCTTATTGTTTTGTTATTAATGACCTCATTTCCTGAGGCTAGAGGGTGGGCTTCCTGCCACCGGGTGGTTCCAGTGAGGAGGTGGACTGGGTCATGCTGGAGGAGTCTCAGACCCAGCCTGATATCGATTGGCAGATCCTCAACTTCACCCCACCCCCAGAGCAGGACAACAGCCAATACCGTAAGAACGTCCACTCTCACACAGTTTGACTCTTTCTCTCTAGCGATGTCAGTTATCAGTAAATCCTCTCCTGTGTGTCTGATATTATCCTTGTTGTGTAGCTGGTCTGGACTTTGACGCCCTCCTGCTGAAACCAAAGGATGTGAAGGAGGGAGTGAAACTGCCACTCATAGTCACCCCACATGGTAAGTTACACACAATATAGTGTGTGTGTGTGCGCCCCCCCTGTTTGGTTGTGGGGAGGAGGGTGAAGTTGCTCATAGACGCTAATCTTGGGTCAGTTTGGAATTTCCCCCACTAATGGTTGGGGGAAGGGAAGCTGATCCTAGATCTGTACTTAGGGGAAACATCACCCTGAGCAGCTACATTCTCTCTCTCGCTCTCTCAGGTGGTCCTCACTCTGTGATTGTAGCAGACTGGCTGCTCTCTTCCTCGGTGCTGTGCAGGATGGGCTTTGCTATCCTACTGGGTGAGTTAGAGCTTCAGTTTATTGTATCTCTGTCTGCATAGTAGATTGTTTCCACGTCAAGATTTTCAATGTGGTGACGTTGAATCATCGTGGAAAACTTGATTGGCTTTGCAAAAAGTAATCAATGTGAAGGAATTTCGTGTTTTTATCTTGTCTATCTATCTTGTAGACAAGAAGCGCTATCCCAAAAGTGTGGTTGGTGCATAAAACCTGTGAATCCACATAAGCAAAAGGTTGGGTCTGCACTCAAAATGATGTTGCATAAAGTGTAGTTCATTTTTCTATTTGTTAGAATTTTGTACTGCATCAGGATGTCATACACAGGCGTTTCTGATTGAACAGCCTTCTTTTTTCCCCCACACCATATTGTCTACACCTAGCCAGTGTGTTTGAATCCAGTAGAGGAAACTAGCTACAGGAGCAGGTCAGGGAATCATTGTGGATCATTAATTGGATGTGTAAGACAGCAGGTAGCCTAGTGGCTAAGAGCGTTGAGCCAGTAACCGAAAGGTCACTGGTTCGAATCCCCAAGCAGACTATGTGAAAAAAATCTGTCAATGTGCCCTTGAGCAAGGCACTAATTGCTCCTGTAAGTCACTCTGGATAAGAGCGTCAGCTAAATGATAAATAATAAGTATGTTTAAGTGGATGAACAGGGATCCTTTCCCCTCTCTGTAGTCAGTGTTGCTACCAGGGATCACAGGCTGTTTTAACACTGACATGGTAACAGTGTTTCCGCTTGCAGTCATCATGCGGCGCTACGCCACACCCAAAAAATATGAAACATGGAAAAACAAAATCTGCCGAGGTGCACTTTGAAGATGCCAGAACAGTCCAAATTGACTTTTCCTCTGCAAGCAAAACGAGTAATGAATGTAAAAAATCTGACAACCCCATTAGTAGAATTGTTGATCTATTTACCTAGTCGGCTTGTTGTGTGATCTATGTGAGAGAAATATTCCTCTCGAGGCGCATTCAAGTTGTGAGTGCCATTTGGAGGGAACGCTTTTAGCAATGGCATGGTTAAACACGTTACCGCTCTGCAATTTGCAGTGTATAGGGGAGAGTGGGGCTGAAGGTAAAATGCCACCCTACCTCAAAATAATTTTTTGGGAGTGACTTATTTAAAAAATATATATATATATTTTACCTTTTATTTAACTAGGCAAGTCAGTTAAGAACAAATTCTTATTTACAATGACGGCCTACACCGGCCAAACCCGGACGAAGCTGGGCTAATTGCGCGCCGCCCTGTGGGACTTGTGATACAGCCTGGAATCGAACCAGGGGGTCTGTAGTGACGCCTCAAGCACTGAGATGCAGTGCCCTAGACCACTGCGCCACTCGGGAGCCCGAGTGATGAGACAAAATACATTTCTAGTTGAGCAAGATTAGTGGCAACCAGGGAAACTGTTGGGGGGGGGAATGTTCACTTGTACAGTGGGGTAAAAAAGTATTTAGTCAGCCACCAATTGTGCAAGTTCTCCCACTTAAAAAGATGAGAGAGGCCTGTAATTTTCATCATAGGTACACGTCAACTATGACAGACAAATTGAGGAAAAAAAATCCACAAAATCACATTGTAGGATTTTTAATGAATTTATTTGCAAATTATGGTGGAAAATAAGTATTTGGTCACCTACAAACAAGCAAGATTTCTGGCTCTCACAGACCTGTAACTTCTTCTTTAAGAGGCTCCTCTGTCCTCCACTCGTTACCTGTATTAATGGCACTTGTTTGAACTTGTTATCAGTATAAAAGACACCTGTCCACAACCTCAAACAGTCACACTCCAAACTCCACTATGGCCAAGACCAAAGAGCTGTCAAAGGACACCAGAAACAAAATTGTAGACCTGCACCAGGCTGGGAAGACTGAATCTGCAATAGGTAAGCAGCTTGGTTTGAAGAAATCAACTGTGGGAGCAATTATTGGGAAATGGAAGACATACAAGACCACTGATAATCTCCCTCGATCTGGGGCTCCACGCAAGATCTCACCCCGTGGGGTCAAAATGATCACAGGAACAGTGAGCAAAAATCCCAGAACCACACGGGGGGACCTAGTGAATGACCTGCAGAGAGCTGGGACCAAAGTAACAAAGCCTACCATCAGTAACACACTACGCCGCCAGGGACTCAAATCCTGCAGTGCCAGATGTGTCCCCCTGCTTAAGCCAGTACATGTCCAGGCCCGTCTGAAGTTTGCTAGAGTGCATTTGGATGATCCAGAAGAGGATTGGGAGAATGTCATATGGTCAGATGAAACCAAAATAGAACTTTTTGGTAAAAACTCAACTCGTCGTGTTTGGAGGACAAAGAATGCTGAGTTGCATCCAAAGAACACCATACCTACTGTGAAGCATGGGGGTGGAAACATCATGCTTTGGGGCTGTTTTTCTGAAAAGGGACCAGGACGACTGATCCGTGTAAAGGAAAGAATGAATGGGGCCATGTATCGTGAGATTTTTGAGTGAAAACCTCCTTCCATCAGCAAGGTCATTGAAGATGAAACGTGGCTGGGTCTTTCAGCATGACAATGATCCCAAACACACCGCCCGAGCAACGAAGGAGTGGCTTCGTAAGAAGCATTTCAAGGTCCTGGAGTGGCCTAGCCAGTCTCCAGATCTCAACCCCATAGAAAATCTTTGGAGGGAGTTGAAAGTCTGTGTTGCCCAGCGACAGCCCCAAAACATCACTGCTCTAGAGGAGATCTGCATGGAGGAATGGGTCCAAAATACCAGCAACAGTGTGTGAAAACCTTGTGAAGACTTACAGAAAACGTTTGACCTGTGTCATTGCCAACAAAGGGTATATAACAAAGTATTGAGAAACTTTTGTTATTGACCAAATACTTATTTTCCACCATAATTTGCAAATAAATTCATAAAAAATCCTACAATGTGATTTTCTGGATTTTTCTTCTCTCAATTTGTCTGTCATAGTTGACGTGTACCTATGATGAAAATTACAGGCCTCTCTCATCTTTTTAAGTGGGAGAACTTGCACAATTGGTGGCTGACTAAATACTTTTTTCCCCCACTGTACCTCACTTGTGTTGTTTCAGTGAACTACCGCGGCTCCATAGGCTACGGCCAGGACAGTATCCTCTCTCTACCTGGTAATGTGGGCACTCAAGACGTCAAGGATGTTCAGGTATGGAAACAGGAGTTACACCACACACATACTCTTTTTAGATCATTGTGTGGCTTATTAGTCTATAGTATTCAGCCCTAGAATCAGTCTCTGACTGACTCGTACGTTTCATTTTCACAGTATTTTTGTAGTCTCTGTCATCTGCCCTATCAAACCTCACTGCCTCCTCTCTCACTTCTCTTTCTCACTTCTCTCTCTCTCTCACACTCTCTTTCTTTCATCATTCTGTTTCTGTCTCTAGTTTGCAGTGGAGAGCGTTCTGAGGGACGGGGCGTTTGATGAGCAGAAGGTTGCGGTTGCCGGGGGATCCCACGGCGGATTCCTGGCCTGCCATCTGATTGGCCAGTACCCAGAGTTCTACAAGGCCTGCGTGGCTCGGAACCCTGTCATCAACCTGGCCTCCATGATCGGTAGCACCGACATCCCAGACTGGTACAAACACACTCTCACACTTTCTCACTACGATGCCCACACAAACGTCCATTTACCCATAGGGCCGCGACGATACCAGTATCACGGTATATTTTCCATGGCAAAAATGTAAACACAAAGCTCAGTGGTCCTTTAAAAACCTGCTGTATGTAAAATATTGTGTGCTATAGCTTGGAAAATAAATAAATGTGACTCTGGATGACAACCATGATGTTTGTTTCCAACATTAGGGCTGTTTTCCTAAAGAAGTTAAATCCGCTTTGTGTTTTGTTTCCATGCCAGGATACTAAGGAGTATCTTGATACTAGTATCGTCCCAGCCCTACTTACCTATTAACACACAGGCTTGACATCATGAATGACATTTACTTTCAGGTTGGTGGATACATAGAGAGACATACACACTTCAGTCTTGAGGGGGTTGCATAGGCTTACCCAGGATGAGCTGTCTGTCTGTGTCTCTGTAGGGAGAGGAAGGAAGGAATAATTCAAACAATCAGTAGGGAAACTAGATATGACATGATAGAATCCATACTATTTGTTTTTGTTCCCTTTTCTCTATAAGGTGTGGTTAACCGACGTGTGTGTGTGTGTGTGTGTGTTTCAGGTGTATGGTGGAGGCTGGCTATAACTACAGTACAGATTGCCTGCCTGACCCTGCGGTCTGGGAGCAGATGTTAAACAAGTCTCCTATCAAACATGTCAAACAGGTGAGTGAGTTTTATCCAGCGGAGTGTGTGTTTCAGATTCTGTGTGTACGGATCCAATGCAGGTGAAAAACGCTTTGCTGACTCTAACCTTGTTTTTCTGTGCCTTGTGTCTGTGTGTTGATTGTAACCCTATATGTGTCGATGTTGTCTCCATTCAGGTGAAGACTCCTGTGTTGCTGACTCTGGGAGAGGATGATAAGCGTGTGCCCCCTAAGCAGGGCATTGAGTACTACAGAGCCTTGAAGGCACTAAAAGTCCCAGTGCGGTGAGTAGACTGCCTTTGTGCTGTTGGCTGCTGGGTAATGTAGTATGTAGGGGTGTGGTGGTCACATTTCAGAATAGAGACCATGAAGCACTTTGTATGCGTTAATGTAATCGGTGTGAAATGGCTAGCTAGTTAGCGGTGCGCGCTAGTAGCGTTTCAATCGGTGACGTCACTCGCTCTGAGACCTTGAAGTAGTTGTTTCCCTTGCTCTGCAAGGGCCGCGGCTTTTGTGCAGCGATGGGTAATGGTGCTTCGAGGATGGCTGTTGTCGATTGTGTGCAGAGGGTCCCTGGTTCAAGCCCAGGTAGGGGCAAGGAGAGGGATGGAAGCAACACTGTTACATTAAGTAAAGGTAATCAAGAGCTAACCATTTAATGGGGGTGCATCCCAAAGACAGCTTCTCCTCTTACTATTTGTTTAAAAAACAACAAGACTGTCTTAAACTGAGACTCAGTGATTTAATGTTGCCACGAGCAGCAGGATGAACCGCAGATGAACGCCATGACGTAGGACATAACGCAAAACAATGCACTCAGTATTACAGAGTATCTGCGCATGGGTGAGCTTTAATCTGCTATAAAGGTGATAGCTGCGGCACCAAAACAGGAGAAGTTTAGCCTCACGCTTCAATGGTCTTTCTTGGCAGCCGATATTGTTGTTTACTTCATGCATCGCTGACTCTCATTTCTTAACTTTGCCTGGATGCCTTTCTTTCAGGTTGCTATGGTACCCAGGGAACAACCACTCCCTGTCCAAGGTGGACGCGGAGTCTGATGGCTTCATGAACATCGCTCTCTGGATGACCCAGCACCTCTCTCTGTGACGATACCATTAGCGATAGCATGCTAACAACAGGATGCTAATCTGTATAAAAACGGTGTGAGGGTCAGGCCAAAGCGCTCAGGGTGCACTTCAACCAAAAAGCACTTACTGTAGGCTACCTGCACTAAGTCATCTGTGATTAGGTCATCTGCGTCAGTTTATAGCTTTGTAATTACAATACAAGTTCTTGTCCTATATCAAATATGAAACTCTTGAAACACATTGATTTTTGCCTGTCATTTACAGTTGAAGTCGGAAGTTTACATACACCTTAGCCAAATACATTTAAACTCAGTTTTTCACAAGTCCTGACATTTAATCCTAGTACAAAGTCCCTGTCTTAGGTCAGTTAAGATCACCACTTTATTTTAAGAATGTGAAATGTCAGAATAATAATATAATATGCCATTTAGCAGACGCTTTTATCCAAAGCGACTTACAGTCATGTGTGCATACATTTTTACGTATGGGTGGTCCCGGGGATCGAACCTACTACCCTGGCGTTACAAGCGCCATGCTCTACCAATTGAGCTACAGAGGACCAGTAGAGAGTAGAATAGTAGAGTGATTTATTTCAGCTTTTATTTCTTTCATCACATTACCAGTGGGTCAGAAGTTTACATACACTCAATTAGTATTTGGTAGCATTGCCTTTTAAATTGTTTAATTGGGGTCAAACGTTTCATGTAGCCTTCTTCAAGCTTCCCACAATAAGTTGGGTGAATTTTGGCCCATTCCTCCTGACAGAGCTGGTGTAACTAAGTCAGGTTTGTAGGCCTCCTTGCTCGCACACGCTTTTTCAGTTCTGCCCACAAATGTTCTATAGGATTGAGGGCAGGGCTTTTTGACGCAAATGATGTCAATTAGCCTATCAGAAGCTTCTAAAGCCATGACATCATTTTCTGGAATTTTCCAAGCTGTTTAAAGGCACAGTCAACTTAGGGTATGTAAACTTCTGACCCACTGGAATTGTGATGCAGTGAATTATAAGTGAAATAATCTGTCTGTAAACAATTGTTGGAAAAATTACTTGTCATGCACAAGTAGATGTTTGTTAACAATAACTTTGTGGAGCGGTTGAAAAACAAGTTTTAATGACTCCAACCTAAGTGTATGTAAACTTCCGACTTCAACTGTAGGTACACTAATCCTTCTTTAGGTACACTAACTTTTCTTCATGAAAAGGCTCCGCCTATGATTTAAACAAGGGCTATGGGTACTGCCGTTCAGAAATGATCTAATACCTTTTTATTTAGACGCATACTAAACAGCCGTATAGTTTCATCTTCAAACTTGTGATTTAGTGTGATCATAATATGAAGAGAAAGAAAGTACTTTGAATATTCTTGAGCTAAACATGATGGACCAGGTAATGGTAACCCCCGGTGAAAGCTCTACACTACACATTGTACTCATTACATTTATTCTGATGGTGCTTTCCAAGGGTGCAGACGCTGTATACTCAGACTGATTGTAACAGCCAGGGATCTTTCTCTAATGATTCTATCAATAAAAATAATTTTGTCTATAAAGTTTTTTTTTTTTTTAATCTGTTGAATTTGTCCCTCATTGCCACTTTTCCTTCCACCATTTTGCTCTATGATACTGGGAAAACATGGAAATATGAGGTATTGTCAGTGAACATAGGGTGGTAGGTAGCTTAGCAGTTAGACCAACTGAAAGGTTGCTGGTTCGAATACCTGAGCCGACAAGATGAAAAATCTGTCTGTCCTTGAGCAAGGCACTTGACCCTAATTTTCTCCAGGGCAGGGTTCATTAAGTCATGACATTTTTAAATGTTTTCCAGGCCTGGAAAAGTTTGGGGAAATGATCAAATCTGAAAAGTAATGGAAATTAATTTAATTTCTGTTAATGGAATTTATTTAGACTGTTTTTTAAATATTTAATAAATTAAATAAAAATCAACCAATCAGCCAGGATCGGAAACACGTCTGTTTGTCCACCTTTCCTGCATATGTACGAGACGAGTTGGACATTACAGCAGCAGGTACACTTCATGTATGTATGTATGTATGTATGTATGTACAGTTCATTCGGAAAGTATTCAGACCCCTTGACTTTTTCAACATTTTGTTATGTTACAGCCTTATTCTAAAATGTATTAAATGGTTTTTTTTCCCCCTCATCAATCTACACACAATGCCCCATAATGACAAAGCAAAAACAGGTTTGTAGAAATTTTTGCAAATGTATGTATAAAAAAAATTATATCACATTTACATAACTATTCAGACCTTTCACTCAGTACTTTGTTGAAGCACCTTTGGCAGCAATTACAGCCTTGAGTCTAATTGGGTATGACGCTACATGCTTGGCACACCTGTATTTGGGGAGTTTCTCCCATTCTTCTCTTCAGATCCTCTCAAGCTCAGTCAGGTTGGATGGGGAGCGTCGCTGCACAGCTATTTTGAACGGAGCAAAGGTCTCTCCAGAGATGTTCGATCAGGTTAAAGTCTGGGCTCTGGCTGGTCAACTCAAGGACATTCAGAGACTTGTCCCGAAGCCACTCCTGTGTTGTCTTGGCTGTGTGCTTAGGCTCGTTGTCCTGTTGGAAGGTGAACCTCGACCTTCGCCCCCAGTCTGAGGTCCTAAGTGCTCTGGAGCAGGTTTTCATCAAGGATCTCTCTGTACTTTGCTCCGTTCATCTTTCCCACAATCCTGAACAGTCTCCCAGTCCCTGCAGCTGAAAAACATCCCCACAGCATGATGCTGCCAGCACCATGCTTCACCGTAGGGATGGTGCCAGGTTTGCTCCAGATTTGACGCTTGCATTCAGGCCAAAGAGTTCAATCTTGATTTCATCAGACCAGAGAATCTTTTTTCTCAAGGTCTGAGAGTCCTTTAGGTGCCTTTTGGCAAACTGCAAGCGGGCTGTCATGGGCCTTTTACTGAGGAGTGTCTTCCGTCTGGCCACTACCATAAAGGCCTAATTGGTGGAGTGTTGCAGAGATGGTTATCCTTCTGGAAGGTTCTCCCACCTCCACAGAGGAACCCTGGAGCTCTGTCAGAATGACAATCGGGTTCTTGGTCACCTCCCTGACCAAGGCCCTTCTCCCCCCGATTGCTCAGTTTGGCCGGGCGGCCAGCTCTAGGAAGAGTCTTGGTGGTTCCAAACTTTTTCTATTTAAGAATGATGGAGGCCACTGTGTTCTTGGGGACCTTCAATGCTGCAGAAATGTTTTGGTACCCTTCCCCAGATCTGTGCTTCGACACAATCCTGTCTCGGCGCTCTACAAACTTCCTTCGACCTCATGGCTTGGTTTTTGCTCTGACATGCACTGTGAACTGTGGGACCTTATATAGACAGGTATGTGCCTTTCCAAATCATGTCCCAATCAGTTTAATTTACCATAGGTGGACTCCAATCAAGTTGTAGAAACATCTCAAGGATGATCAATGTAAACAGGATGCACCTGAGCTAAATTTTGAGTCTCAAAGCAAAGGGTCTGAATACTTATGTAAATAAGGTATTTCTGTTTTTTATTTTTAATACATTTGCAAAAATGTCTACAAATATGTTTTTGCTTTGTCATTATGAGGTATTGTGTGTAGATTGATGAGGAAAAAATAACGATTTAATCCATTTTAGAATAAGGCTGCAACGTAACAAAATGTGGAAAAAGTTAAGGGGTTGGAATACTTTCCGAATGCACTGTATGCCTAGCCTATATAAAATATGATGGAGAACAGACTAATATTTAGGTAACCAATTCAAAACATATATTGTACACTGTAGTTAACGGTTAAGCTATTATTAGCGTGTATTAATATTTTCTTCATGTCCCAAAAAACTTTCCACCGACACTCGCGAATAAGGCCATACAAAGTTGATTTCGTTTTTTTTTAATGAATCAGATTATTAATTTAAACGATTCTTTTTGACGCAACGAACGATTCACTTTGCCATTTATTAGTTGAGATTCGGTTCAATCGTGATTAATCGAATCATATGAATCAAAATAATTTGTGAATCGCGAACAGTAATTTTAGGAAAAATTATTTGATGTAGCCTTTCCCTTAGATGATGTTGCTTCAAAACTTGTTTTGTAGATGCAGTACTTCCAGTTGACTTGGGCAGCCAATGTATGGGACATTGCAACTCAATAGATGCTAGTCAGCAGTGGTGTAAAGTACTTCAGAAAAAATAATTTAAAGTACTACTTAAGTAGTTTTTTGGGGTATTTCTATTTTACTATTGATATTTTAGACAACTTTTACTTCACTACATTCCTATAGAAAAGTATGTACTTTTTACTCCATACATTTTCCCTGACAACACCAAAACAACTCTTTACATTTTGAATGCTTAGCAGGACAGGAAAATTGTCCAATTCACACACTTATCAAGAGAACGTCCTTGGTCATCCCTACTGCCTCTGATCTGAGGAACTCACTAAACACAAATGTTTCATTTGTAAATTATGTCTGAGTGTTGAGGTGTGCCCCTGGCTATCCATAAATAACATTAAAATAAGAAAATGGTGCCTTCTGTTTTGCTTAATATAAGGAATTTGAAATTATTTATACTTTTACTTTTGATACTTAAGTATTTTTTTTAGCAATTACATTTACTTTTTATACTTAAGTATATTTAAAACCAAATACTTTTAGACTTTTACTCAAGTACTATTTTACTGGGTCATTTTCTATTAAGGTATCTTTAGGTATGACAATGTAGTACTTTTTCCACCATTGCTACTCACCCTGCAAAGTAAACACTTCTAAGGTAGCTAAGATAATTATGACTAAACTAGAAAAGGTACATTTCCTGAAGAAAATGTGTAGGCTTGCTTCAGCTGAATAAAATGATTTGCAGCTTACCACATGTGTTTTATACAGTTCCTAACAGGTATTCTACCTTGTGGGGGGTTAAGTGCCTTGCACAACGACAGGAGATAGTACATGGAATCAAAGCGCAGCCTCCGTGTTGATGCCACATTACACCTACTTGTTTATACATACATAGAGACGCCGCCAATTGTTGGTCCTGGAAATTTGGTTAAAAGTCATGGAGAAGTCATGGAAAAGTCATGAAATTCCAACTGTCAAAATGTGTATGAACCCCGCCGTAGTACTATGGCTGAACCTGTAAAACAACACATTTCACTGCACCTATCCTGTGTTTGTCACAATAAAATATGTATTAATTCTTGTAAGTTTTAAGTACCCATGTATTTGATATTTACATTTCAGTCATTTAGAAGACGCTCTTGTCCAGAGCGACTTACAGTTAAGGAGTGCATACATTTTTTTCCTTCATTTTTTTCTCCATACTGGCCCCCCGTGGGAATCGAACCCACAACCCTGGCGTTGCAAGCGCCATGCTCTACCAACTGAGCTACACGGGGCCCATATCTGGTCATGACACAGACAGGGGAGCATGACATGCCATTTCAGATTAGTTTTTCAGACGTTTCATTTTGTAAGAAGCCCTGTCAGTTAAAATACATCTGTCTTGAAAGTGTCTGGGAAGATTTCACTTCTTCATTTCTGAATTGTGTTCCATAAGCCCTGGTACTTAACTACTGCCTTTTAGATCCGCTGTGTCATTCAAGTATTTTCTCTCTCGATGCGGGATGCGTTATTTAGAGGAAGGGTCGGCAGAAACTTGTTCGGGAATAAAGCATCGGTCTATTCCATTCAAAACAACAACACGTTTCATTATAATTGACCTTCAGGGGGTTATTGAGGCCCAAAACCTCCCACAGTAAGTGTTATTCTCAGTTTTAATATGCCAGTTAATATCTGTACTAGGCCATGAAAACTTTACATTGAGGTGAATACTCATAATTTAAATTAAATTATTAGTGTACCAGCATTTACTGTTTTATACTGGTTGTCTCATGATTGTACTTTATTTGCAGTTGTGTGGTCATGGAGCGTTCATTGTGGATTTGCAGAACTACAATTAGCATCCGGAATCCATTTTGATAAGTCTTGGATCTGGTTTTGACATTGCCAATAGCTGAGACTTGCTGGGAGCAACTTTCATTGTCTGTACTTCTGTGCAGTTATAATTTGACTTTTGAATAAGCTATATTTTGTTGTACAAATGTTTATTTCTCTCTGTCCAGGTCATGCGGGGATATGGAGTTCTCCTCTGCTTATGTCTACTACCACTAGCTGTTAGAACTACAAATCCCAAGTTCTTCCCTTGCGACAACAACCCAGACTCCAGTGTGGTGAACTGCTCTCGGAGGGCGCTCACCCGCATCCCTTTGATCAGGTCAGCCTCCGTCCTTTCACTTGACCTGAGCTATACCGGGATCCAGCAGGTAGGGAAGGATGCATTCTCTGGGGTTCCAAACCTCCAGAAACTGAGCATGACAAGGAACTGTCTCCCTGGTCATATGAGGGCCCTGGGGTCTCCCTCGTGCCATGTTGAGATCCACAAGGATGCCTTCATGTGTCTTAAGAACCTCAGCATCCTCCAACTGGCAGGAAACAGCCTCACCTCTCCCCTCCCCAGACTACCTGACAGCCTGGAGGTCCTTAATCTGGAGTCTAACCACATTTACAACATAACCCAGCCCCTCGGCACACCAAACCTCAAGCAGCTGCTGCTCACCATGAACTGCTACTATGGTAACCCCTGCAACCAGTCCTTCCACATTGACGAGGCAGTCTTCAGGGAGCTTACCCAGCTGCAAAACCTTACCCTGGGTTTTAACAACGTAACATCCATCCCTCCGGGAATGCCTCCCTCTCTGAAGACACTGGAACTGAATGAGAATAAAATTTCTGTGTTGGATGAGTGGGCATTTGCCAATCTGACCCAGCTGTGTAAGCTCAACCTGGGCTGGAACTGCCAGCGCTGTGACCATGCTGCTCAGCCCTGCTTCCCCTGCCTCAACAACACCCCCCTTGACATCAACCCCCGTGCGTTTTACGCCCAGAACAACTCTCTCAAATTCCTCAGCCTGAGGGGAAACTCCCTCTGCAACATCCCAGAGGGCCTCTTCAGTCCCCTGGTACACCTAGAGAGACTGGACCTTTCGGACAACCTACTGGCCTTAGCCATACGCAACGGCACCTTCTTCATAGAGCTGAAGAGGCTCACTTGGATCAGCCTCATCTACAACTATGAGCCGATGAAGACCTTCCAGAAGCTAGTGCTGTCTCCCAACGTGACCCACATGTCTGGCCTGAAAACACTTCTCCTCAGTGGGAACTTCTTCCAAATGGTCTCTGAGGAAAGCGTGGCAGTTCTGGCCAAGTTCCGTTGGCTGGAGGTTCTGGAGCTGCGGATGAACTTCATCAGGTCCTGTAATCTGAGTGCCCTGGCCCAGCTGCCAGCCCTGGTGAGGGTGGACCTTTCCCAGAACATGCTGGAATTTCTCCCATCCTGCTCTACTCAGTCCTCCGAGTGTAAGTCCTTTAAGAGCTTTCAGAACCAGAACCGGTATGCCACAGTGGAACTTCACAACCCACCCATGTTGCTCAGTGACCGGAAGGCTGTCCCAGATGAGCCTTGGCATCGTCCAGGTCCAGTAGTCACTGCAGCCGAGCCAGGGCCAAACACGTTGGCGATACCGGAGGATGAGTGCCGTCAAAACCCAACTATATGTTCCTTCAAAAATCATCTCTGCAATGGTACCATGTCTTTTGACCTTTCCCAAAACAACATCCTCACCCTCAATGGCAGTTTGTTCCTAGGTATGGAGAAGGCAGTCTGTTTGGACCTCTCTTACAATTACATGAGCCAGAGCTTAAACGGCAAACAGTTTCTCCACCTGGACAACCTGGCGTACCTCAGCATGGCCCACAACAGGATAGATCTGTACTATGGAGATGCCTTCAAGGAGCTCAATGCCACTCTGAAGGCTTTGGACCTCAGCAACAATGAGTTTCACTTCCTAATGAGAGGCATGGGCCATCGCTTTGAGTTCATCAAGAACCTCCCAAATCTGGAGGCGCTAAGTCTGTCTGACAACAGCATTGGGATGCGGATAGATCATACATTGTACAGCGACTCTATCAGGTACCTGTATTTCTCTGGGAACCACCTGGACATCATGTGGGACACTAGAAGCAACGACTACATCACCTTCTTCCAGAACCTGACCAACCTTATCTACCTAGATATCTCCAGGAACCAGCTGAGGTCTCTGTCACCAGCAGCCTTCTGTAACCTGCCTGTCAGCCTCCAGGTGCTCCGGGTCAGCGAAAACAACCTGAACTATTTCCCCTGGGAGAACATCACAGCGCTCGGCCGACTATGCCACCTCAACCTCAGTGTTAACTATCTGTCTGACCTTCCCGACAAAGTAATCCATTTTCAGGCAAACTTTACCCTTCTCGACCTTAGTCACAACCAAATCAGCTTTCTCCCCGAAGACTTTTTCAGCGAAGCGTTGGCATTGCGTTTTCTCTACCTCAACCACAACAAACTCAAGCTGTTGGATCGGCAGTCCCTCCCTGCCCCACTGAGGAACGGCAGTGCCCTCCAGATGCTCACTCTGCATGCCAACCCCTTTGACTGCTCCTGCGACACTTCCTGGTTTGCGGACTTCCTGCGTGCCAGCCAGGTGGAGATCCTCCTTCTTACCACTGGCTTGCACTGCGGTTACCCCGAGTCGCAGCAGGGGGCTAATGTGTTGTCCATGGATCCCCGCTCCTGCCAGGAAATCTATGGCAGCCTGGCCTTCCTCTCTATGACCTTCCTGACTTTGGTGTTCACTTCCCTGCCCCTACTGAGGCACCTCTATGGCTGGGATGTCTGGTACTGCTTCCAGGTACTTCTACAAATCAATGTTGTGTTGTATTCCCTCCCTGGTAGTTAATTGATCAAGTAATATCATTGATTTACCAGATAGTTCACTAATATGTTTTCCCAGTGCACGATCAGTCCCTGATTAGAAGACCATAATTGAATAGCCCAGCTGTAAATCAATGTTGTGTTTATGTGTCCATATGTTGAACATCTCTATGCCACATGACACAATTTATTTTGTAACAAACAGGTGCTGTGGGCAGGACACAAGGGGTACACCCAGCTGCCTGGGGGAAACTTCCAGAGTCAGCATGATGCCTTTGTGGTCTTCGACACGGGGAACCAGGCAGTGAGAGACTGGGTCTACAATGAGCTCCTGGTCCACATGGAGAACGTGGGGCGGAGGAGGTTCCGTCTCTGCCTGGAGGAGAGAGATTGGGTTCCAGGTCTGTCTTGCATCGAGAACCTTCACAGTGCTGTCTACAGCAGCATGAAGACCGTGTTTGTCCTGACGAGCGGGGCGAACGGCGGGGGAGCAAGGGTTAGCAGAGTTAATGGGGTGACTCGCCAGGCCTTCTACATGGTCCAGCAGAGGCTGTTGGATGAAAAGGTCAGACTTGCAATGCGTTTGTGTCATTGACAACTAGACTAAATTCAAGTAATATCTTCACAATAAAGCAAAAACAACAACAGGCAACCTCCCTACCACTGACTCACTCTGTACTGTCTTATCCGTTATCTCATCTACAGGTGGACGTGGCGGTGTTGGTTCTGCTGGACGAAGTGTTTCCCAAGCTGAAGTACTTGCAGCTGAGGAAGAGGCTCTGCAAGAAGTCTGTTCTGTCCTGGCCCAGGAACCCTCAGGCCCAGCCACTGTTCTGGAACCACATGAAGACAGCATTGGCCTCCGACAACATCCACTCCTACGACAGCAAAGTCAGCGAGAGCTTCATATAGGTGGGTCGATCCACGAATAGAGTGCCTTTTATGTCCTTGTGACATTGTCTGTAAATGTTGATAATACTCAATTTAAGAGTTGGATAACATACAGTACATCTATAACTAAACTAAGCCATGTTAAAAATACCAATAGTAGTGTGTTTCATTCAAGTAAATTAGTTGTTTTCTCTGAAAATCCCCATTTTGGCATGTCCCACGTCATGTTTGTCTGACCTCTACGCCTATTTTCACCCACTTCATCATTGTAAAGCCCTAGGTAATGTGTTGCTTTGTTAGTCATTTCGGAAGATTATGTGATTGGAGATTCATTTACATTTGTCCCTCAGATTTAAAGTCAACCCTGTTATGTGAACTCTCATTTTAATATGGTAAAACTATTCCTTAAAAAAAAAACATTCAAAGAAACATTGAACATCTAATAGTTTTTCTCTTTGTGTCCATCAACACATCAACCCTGCTACCCATAAATAGATAAGCTAGAAATGTTTTAACAAGTTTAGAAAAATGGCACACTATTTGTGGAATGACCCAGGTATACTAATAATGGAGTTTATTTACAGTATAGCACATTTCTATGTGCTAGAAGTGCTTTACACTGTCAGGAGGAGGTAGAAGGGGCCCTCACTCACAACATTTTTGAATTGAACTCTATTTTATCTCTGTGGCTATCAGATGGGATTATAAAATCCAGGTGCATATGTGAACAGTGCATTTACAGAATTAGTTTGATCCTTCAAAGATAGTTGCTTATATTGGGTTGGTGTAACTTGTTGTTACAGTTTGAAGAAATGTTTCAGAAATAAATACATGCATTTAGTTAAAGGATGGATTTAGTCACGTGTTTAATTTTGATCAGTATTTAACCGATTTCAACATTAAAGGCCACACACATATTACAGAGAGGGAGCAAAGTCATTATTGTGTATTAAAACTCATTCCATGCAGAAGTTTACCACCATATCAAGGGTATTGTCGTCATCTAGCCCACACTACAACTTCCACTACATAAAGACGGGAACAACAGGTGAATAAGTGTCATTTTTTTGCCACAAGACTATCTGTTTCTAAAGGAAGTGAGAGTAGGAAACTCCCAAATGGCAGCACAGCTGCATCTGTTACCCAGGCTTTATTAGTCAGCAGCATACCACCCTGCATACCACTGCTGGCTTGCCTCTGAAACTAAGCAGGGTCAGTCCTGGTCGGTTCCTGGATGGGAGACCAGTTGCTGCTGGAAGTGGTGTTGGAGGGCCAGTAGGAGGCCCTCTCCTTAGACTCTCCTCTGGTCTAAGGAGATCCCAATGCCCCAGAGCAGTGAAGGGGACATTGCCCTGCGAAGGGTGCCGTCTTTCAGATGGGACGGGTGTCCTGACTCTCTGTGGTCATTAAAAATCCCATGCCACTTATTGTAAGAGTAGTGGTGTTAACCCCGGTGTCATGGCTAAATTCCCTAGCTGGCCCCATTCCATCATGGCCACCTAATCATCCCCCTCTTTCCTAATTGGCAGATATCACTCCTCACCTGATAGCTGATGTGTGGTGAGTGTTCTGGCACAAAAATGGTTACCGTGCATCACCCAGGTGGGTGCCAGACATTGGTGGTGGATGACGTGAGTTTCCCCCTTACAATGTGAGGTGCTTTGAGTACCTTAGATGGTAGAAAAGCGCTATATAAATCCAGTCAATTATTCAATCGTGGCAGTCTCAGACTAAAGTATGTAGCGAACGACAGAGTAGCGAAATAATTTAGTGTGAGTCGGCAGGCTGGTAGTTTACTACAAAAGATGAGAGTTTGCGCTGATGATGCCCTATGCTGGTGTCACGGTGGGATAGTCTGACTCACCTCCTACCAGTGGAGGCTGGTGGGAGGAGCTATAGGACGACAGGCTCATTGTAATGGCTGGATTGGAATTAATGGAACGGTATTATCAAACATGGAAACCAAATGATTGACTCCGTTCCATTGACTTCCATTCCAGCCATTACAATGAGCCTGTCGTCCTATAGCTCCTCCCACCAGCCGCCACTGTCCACTACACTGGAAAACTAGATATAGGGGAAGGATCATTTGTGTTCAGGAAGTCTGGCTTAACCACCCCAAGACAGACAGGCAGACAGATGGACACACACACTGTCTAGTGATCTGACTTCAGTCTTGTCTCTTGTGTTGTAAAGTTAATGAAAGTATGCCTGTGGTACACAAGTGGTATACAGTATTATTTTATTTTTATTTTTATATAAGGGGGCATCAAATCAACTGCCAATATAATGTTGTAGTGGGCAGAGAAATACCATGGGCATTGCAGAGGAGGCTAGTGGGACAAGCTATAGGAGGACTGGTCTCATTGTAATGGATGGAATGGAATTACAGTTGTTTTCAATTGCTAAAAAGCATCGGTCAATACTGAAGCCACTTTTTCAAAACTCTTCACACAGTCTGCATTACCAACATGTGTCTTGGCCAAACAGTTAATCTCAACTCCAAAACTCACTCAAACCACCAAAACACTTCATATGTCTCAAAATAAGCTTGTTCGACCATAACGCAGGCAACAATTCTCACTCAGAAAGCATACATTGTCACTCATAACACACTGACCGAAAAAACACTAACAACAGGGAGCATTACATAAATGATTAACATTTCTCTTAGAAGTTTGAATGATTTTTCACATAAATCAGTATTTCATTATAGAATATGAATAACACCTTTTCACTTTATTGACTGTACTAAAGTATATGTAACAAGAATGATTCAGAAATCCAGCAATTTGCTTCAATAGCTTTTTTTTCTATATCTTTGCAAATAGTAATTTACTTGTGAAAAATAAAAAGTTGAAACAAAAAACAAAAACCTGAAATTCCAGGGCTGCAATAATAAAAAATAAAAAAAACAACATCAACATGTATAGTATAATCCCTCATACTGTACAGTACTGTGAGGGTTATAGTTCTCCCTCTCTCCTGCATTTGGCCACAAGTTCTCATCAACGTCACATCTTATTTATTCTGTGGCGATGCATCTTGGAAAGTATCTTCTGAAATGTCTAACCAACCCTGGCAGTCTTCAGGAGAAGTGTCTCTACACCCTGCATTCATGGCATCCAGTAAGGACATCTGGTCATGTGGATGGTGGTCATAAACCTTCCACCTCCATGCAGAGGAAAAACTCCTCTATGGGGTTTAGGAAGGGGGGAGTATGGAGGCAGGAATAGTACTGACATCCTGGGATGTGCATCAAACCAGTCTGTGACTGCAGCAGTGGTGGAATGCCACATTATCCCACACAACAACGAAGGTAGAGGAGTTTCTTGCCCCTCTCTCCTCCGCTGGCACAAGTCGATTATGCAGGTCATCCAGAAAATAAATGAGCCTCTCTGTATTGTAGGGGCCAATGAGTGGTTTGTGTAACAGCAAACCATCATTGGACAGTGCTGCACACATTGTGATGTTAGCTCCTCTCTGGCCCGGGACATCTACGGTTGCTCTCTGTCCAATCACATTTCTTCCCCTGAGGCATGTTTTTGCCAGGTTGAATCCAGCTTCATCCACAAAGATGAATGTATGTGCAGTTTGCCTGGCTTCCATCTCCATTACTCTCTAAAATACAGTATTATGCATAGCTGTGTATGTGCCCTGTTTGGTTATTGAACAGACATCTTACCTGGACATATTGATACCGGAGTTCTTTCACACGTTCACCGTTTCTCTCAAAGGGTACAGTGTACAACTGCTTCATCCTTATTTTATGTTTCTCTAGGACTCCGGCAATTGTCGTTGTGCTGACCGTATTCACATTCCCAAAAGCGATATTGTCTGTCAGCACTCTGTCCCGAATTTGCCACAGTTTTATTGCATTGTTGCCAATTACCATGTCAACGATGGCAATTTCCTACGCATCTGATAATATTCTGTCTCTCCCTCCTGTGGGAGGCAACCTTTGGATCCTACTGAAAAACACAAAACAATCAATATATTTCAAAATGTCAGTACATGTAAAAATGTGAACATACAGTATTGTACTGTAATATGTAGCTCAATTATCATTGAAGGGATGCACATCTCAACTGTTGTTTTGCAGGTAAATTCGTACTATTGATGCAACTGTTGAACGCTGCAGATTTGGTTGCACCCTTAAACCAGCCTCTCTCAAAGAGAGACCACGGTTTACAACATGGTCAGTAATTGTGGGCCTTATCTCATCAGAGACCACCGCTCTTGGTCTTCCTCTCCTTTGTCCTCCACGCATTCTCCCTCTCCCTGCCACTCTTCTTTCCCCACCAACCTGTCTTCCTTGATCCATGTTTCCAAACTAAATCATTCCGAAGCCGTCCTCTTTTGTCTGTTTGGTAACGAGACTAAAAACAGGACACTTGGGTAGGCTTTCAACTGAAATTACAATCAGCTGTGTTTGGAATGATTAAATATTCTGCTGAGATTTTCTATATGTTTCAATCTGGTTACTGCAGAAATGCACGACATTTGCCATCATTCTGTTTTGAATGTGTTTTTAACAGTTTTGAAAAAAGTGTGTTAACATTTGCAAATATATAGTTTTGCAGGTGGTGGAGTATGAATGAGAAAATAGTTTATTTGACCAGTGAGAGACAGAATAACAACAAAAAATGTTATAAATTGATTTGCATTTTAATGAGGGAAATAAGTATTTGACCCTCTCTCAATCAGAAAGATTTCTGGCTCCAAGGTGTATTTTATACAGGTAACGAGCTGAGATTAGGAGCACACTCTTAAAGGGAGTGCTCCTAATCTCAGTTTGTTACCTGTATAAAAGACACCTGTCCACAGAAGCAATCAATCAATCAGATTCCAAACTCTCCACCATGGCCAAGACCAATGAGCTCTCCAAGGATGTCAGGGACAAGATTGTAGACCTACTCAAGGCTGGAATGGGCTACAAGACCATCGCCAAGCAGCTTGGTGAGAAGGTGACAAGAGTTGGTGCGATTATTCGCAAATGGAAGAAACACAAAATAACTGTC